CAAGAGTTTGATTTCAAGGTGTTGGAGTTTGTGTGATTAGGGAGGGATACCACGAACAGTGCCTGGGCAGTTAGGGTTAATGGGACAAATGTCCATTTTGGACGAATTTGAGAAAAATAAAACACCAACCAAAAGGTGATTTTTTGCAAACTCTGGTTGCCTATACAAGTTGTACCGGAGAGTGGTAGGTAAAAAAGAAGGCCTCTGTTTTTGACATCATTAGACGCATACATGTAGCATTCTGCCAGCCGAGCTTTCCGATTCAAAAAATCACAGTTCCTCTGATTTCCTTTAAAAAAGAGAAGATTTTCACCATACACAATAATTATAGTTATGGTGATTCTAGTTTTTGTTTGGCTACTTTCTAGTTTTACATATATTTGATTGTTGTAGAATTTCAAAAGATTCTGCTACATGTAAAGTCACAGACTTGATACCACATTCTTTTCACAACTTTTCTCTGAAAAACTATTAAGTAAAATTCGGATGCATTTATTTTTCACTTACTGGACTTGAAAGTTAAGGTCAGTGGGTGGCTGCGTATGCAGATTTTAGAAATCTGCATCCACATCTCATGGAAGAGATGCCCTCTGCATGTTCCAACAAAGGCTATGATGATACCAAACATATTTTTATTCTCAAAAAGTTCATCTGACAGTTCCTGGGTATTTGCTATGGGTTGCTGCATCATGTTATGGCAAGTGTTTCATTTGAACTCATATATGAAGATAAAGGGAGACCAGCTGGACATACTGTACTAGTAAATGTGACTTTTCTGCATTCAACAGAAAAAAAATGTGTATGTAGTAATATTGCACAAGAATGTTGGCAATGTGTTGGTTCATTTGTAGACACATGTACATGTACGTACCGGTATAATCTCAAGTTCTACCATACAGTTTCCGACCAATGAACATTGAGTGGTTGATGGAACTGGTTCATTGAATTAAATGGATGTACATAAATAGTCATTCATTAAATGGACATTGCACAGTGCATGAGCAACTTGGCAAGCATTTCACTTACAAATTGTTTTCAAAAGGTGCACATGTGCTGCTGTTGGTTATTTTTAGTGGAATCATACTCTAACACACAGTCTTTATTCATGAAAATGTAACTGAAAGAATTCCATATGTATGTAGTTTACATACATGTATGTGTACATGTACCTTGTCTCATTTACATGCTATCGATAAATAAATACATCGTAAATCATTGTAATGGATGGATGATGCATGAGCTCTTTCAAGGGCAGTCCATTCCACTTTGTTTAAGGTCATTTGTGAAACCTTCACTTCAACTGAAGGTCTAGAGATTATCTCAGGAAGAGTTTCATATACGTGCATTAAACTTTGTCCTGTGTTTGGTACGATATATCAGCCATCAGAAAGCGGTACCATAAATAATAATAATGACGTTTATATAGCTTTATTTCAAATTTTATGTCAAGTGGCACTTTACAATATTAAAACATGCCGGAGGAAGTATAAAGATTATAAGTAAAGACAAAATACACATCAAAATCATCAAGACAGGCTGGTCAAAAAATTGTCAGTCAAAGGGGAAGCTTTACAACATTAAACCATACACAGATTAAAAAACAATCAGTGATGAGAAATGAAAAACATTAAATGTCACAACTTTAGCAGATCATAGCGGTAGTAAATGTTTCTTTGAAAAGGTAGGTTTGAAGATTTGCCTTAGAATCAGTAAAAGTTTTCACTTGACTTAATGGCACATGTACCGAGAAGTATTGTAAGCATATATACTTAGAAAATAAGATTTTGCAGACTTGTCTTGTAGGGTTTGCGCCCAGGGTGTCAAGTGTGTAGGGCTCTTTCCCTTAGAATGTTTCTCAGACCAATCTCCTAGGGATTGTACACGGGGTGTTAAGCGATGTCTCTGTGTAGAAGTCTTTCCGTCATCATCTCCTTCAGTGTCTTACTGACCAAGTAAGAGGTTCTAGCAAAGGATGGGTCTATTGACTGCTTCAGGAATATCAAACTTTATCATTCCACTGCCAAAGATTGCAGATGTCATACATGTACATGTAAGTAAGTACGCAGACCAGAAGCCACACTTTCAGATAGGACCTTGATACCAGTTCCTTTAATGTGGTAAATACCAGAAGCACAACTAATACTATTTACATACTGTACCATGCTATTGCCTGCAAATTCAGTAGATTTTAAAAAGGCAGAAATGGTCAGGAAAAGCATGATACTGCAACTAGAGAGCAAAATGTTGAGCTAATGA